ACGAGTCCCTGTTCATTATCATGGTGGCCCTGTTCATTATCATGGTGGCCCTGTTCATTATCATGGAGTCCCTGTTCATTATCATGGTGGTCCTGTTCATTATCATGGTGGCCCTGTTCATTATCATGGTGGCTCTGTTCATTATCATGGAGTCCCTGTTCATTATCATGGTGGCCCTGTTCATTATCATGGTGGCCCTGTTCATTATCATGGAGTCCCTGTTCATTATCATGGTGGCCCTGTTCATTATCATGGTGGCCCTGTTCATTATCATGGTGGCCCTGTTCATTATTATGGTGGTCATGTCCGTCTGTTCGAGAAAACCATGCCCTCTCTTTTCATATCGTTGCTGGGTTTGTCAAGCTAGACCAGCTTATACTTGGTTTTCAAGTATGCACGAGAAATTGTCGCCTTGTACTGGCACTTCGTTGCTAAGTCTCATGTTTAGAGTGCCTCGTTGCGACGTTGATTGGCTAGAGCCATCTGTCAATCACGCCAGTCGGATACGGTGGGTTAATCGTCGATGCTGTGCAGGTCTGAAGCCGGGTCAGAGGAAGGTGCTGTTCACTTGTCTGAAGAGAAACGACAAGCGTGAGGTGAAGGTCGTGCAGCTAGGTGGTTCCGTAGCCGAGCTCTCTGCGTACCATCACGGAGAGGTAAGCAGCCGGGCGTACGATTATTACTGTTTATTAATTCTTTCTTTTTATTATACCATTATTATTTATTCAATTTATTATTTATTATTATTTACTATGTTGTCTATTCTATTCATTATTATTTCTTTCATTTGTTGCATTATTACTAGAGTTGTGTGATTTTGGTGAGCATGGCCAGAGGCAATCGTTGAAGCATTTTTAATGTGATTTCAACTTGGTAATGTCATTATCACTAAGATAGATTTATATTCGTTGGACAGCGCTCGACCCACTTTTTGCAGCACACTTGACTAGGGTTGTGACGTGTTGTCAGTAAACATGTGATAACGATGTAAGTCACGCCTGTGAGTAACCAGTAAAATTAGTGTTTGTTTGCGTAGTCAGACACAGCGATTTTATTACAACTAATGGTGATCCGTCTTCTTGGCAGCAATCCCTCAACACCACGATCGTGAATCTCGCTCAGAACTTTGTCGGCAGCAACAACATCAACCTGCTGCAGCCGATCGGTCAGTTTGGTACGCGCCTGCACGGAGGCAAGGACTGCGCCAGCCCCCGTTACATCTTCACTATGCTCAGGTACGTTATCGAGTAGGTTAGAATGTAAAGTAACTAGAGTAGACCCAATTATATCTCACTATGCTCTGGTAAGCTATTGAGTAGGTTGGGGTATAAATTGTCTCTTGATCAGCAGCCCCCGTTACATCTTCACCATGCTCAGGTAAGCTATCAAGTAGGTTAGAATGGGTCTGTGTCGCTGCCGTGTCTTGATCAGTCGCTGATGTGTCTTGAGCGGTCGTTGCTGTGTGTCGTTGTAGTTTGTCACCATTGCCTCTCTACCTTCGCAGTTCGCTCATCTACCTGCGGACTGTGCTCTATTAGGTTGTTGATGCGCATTGCCGTGTGTTGATGCGCGTTACCCTGTGTTGCTGTGCATCGTGTAGGTTTCTAACCCGTGTCTCTCCACCTTCGCAGTTCGCTGACGCGTCTGCTCATCCACCCGCACGACGAGCCGAGTCTCAACCACCTGTGGGACGACAACCAGAAGATCGAGCCGGAGTACTACTGTCCGATCATCCCGCTCGTGCTCGTCAACGGAGCCGAGGGCATCGGCACCGGCTGGAGCTGCAAGGTCACGAACTACGACCCGCGGCAGATCGTGCGCAACATCCGGCTGCTGATGAGAGATCAGGAGTGCGAGCCGATGGTGAGTGCAGCGAGCGTTAAGTGGAGCGCAGCAGGATGGAGTGGTTGGCACGACACGACACGACACGGCATGACACAACACAGTGCAACAGCGCAACACAAAGCAGCATGACACAGCAGCACAACACAACAAGATGAAACAGAACAATGTCCGCGGGGGGACCGCCGTCGTCGTTAATTTATAATTAAGAAATAATTTACTAACGATTTAAATTACCCATCATCTACTTTAGGTAATAATTGCCATCTGCATGTGTATATACGTAAAATTTCCCGATTTTCCGTTTGCGCGACAGCTGCCGTTCTTCAAGAACTTTAAGGGCGATATTCAGTCGCTGTCGGAGGACCGGGTCGTCGTGACGGGCGAGGTGTCGGTGATCGACGACACGACGGTGGAGATTAGTGAGCTACCTGTGCGCACGTGGACGCAGGCGTACAAGGAGAGCGTGCTCGAACCGATGATCCTAGGCACCGACAAGACGCCCGCACAGATACTGTGAGTGCTTTGTGTTACGCGTGTGTTTATTGTAGGCGTTGGTATGACAAGACGCCCGCACAGATACTGTGAGTGCTTTGTGTTACGCGTGTGTTTATTGTAGGCGTTGGTATGACAAGACGCCCGCACAGATACTGTGAGTGCTTTGTGTTACGCGTGTGTTTATTGTAGGCGTTGGTATGACAAGACGCCCGCACAGATACTGTGAGTGCTTTGTGTTACGCGTGTGTTTATTGTAGG